TGTTCTCTATATGAGCGCTCCCTCCACAACCGTGCCACGAGACGATTTTATGGGGGTGGGAGTATTTGTGGGGTTGTGGGGTTCCACACATCTTCAAGTTGCCAAGGTTGAGAAACTGCCATAGTCGTATCAACCTCATCCCAGTTTGAATGTCATGCACTCCCATGAAAATCCTGGGAATTATAATTTGATGAGGAAGCTGAGAATTCCCCGCTGGAGAGTCAGTCCCTTCAGGCAATTTCCAGAGCCTTCTTAATTCACAGCAGTTTGCATTTCTTTTTATTATTTTTTTAATGACATTCTGCTGGGCCGATGTTGAGGGCTTGTGCGATGAGGTCACCGATCTGGCTGAGAATCCACAATCCTTGGATGTCAATTGATTTCTTAGCTATTTCAGATTCTCAAGTTCATGAAAACATCTTGGTATGTGCAGTAGGAAGGATCTGTTAGCTTTGCTTTTAAGAGTAAGAGCAGGGCCACGCTTTTAAGTAGGAAACTTTATTTTGGGCCCTTGGTTCCTCTAGCCCAGTGTTTCTCAACCTTGGCAACTTCAATTTAAAGTCAACTGAATCAAATTTAGTTTTTCCCCCGGCCCTCCTGCTTCTTCACCTTCTTTTAGATTGTGGCCATAAGGGTCTCCAGCTAGCCATGATTGAGTCAAAACGGTAAAATGTGCATCATGACATCATAGCACAAGCTCCACCCTTTTGTGCTTGTATTGTGACATCACCCACAAGTACATAAGAAGTAGAGTTTGCTTTGCACCCCACATGAGTGTGTTCATCTCCCCAAAACTTGTATGTGGGTACCAACAAAACAATTTCAAAATGTTGGGGGGGGGGTCTCTTAAAATTAGAAGAAAATAAACAGAATTGCAACCCGTGAGTGGAAATTAAAGCTGCCCCCCATTGGCTCTAGGACCTGGCAAATGTCCAAGCTTGCTCCGTTCCAGAACTGGTCCTGCAACATCCTCTAGTAATTTTTCCAAACAAAATGAATGTTGTAATGACTGTCCTGGAATGAAGAATGTAGCCTTTATTTTAGAAGCTCAACCCCATTTATATCATATTTTCCTCTTTGCTTTCTTTTGTGATTTCTTTTTTTTTTTCTTTGCTTTCCTTCATTTTTTCATTTTTCTTTGCTTTCTTTTGGGATTTTCACCTCCCCCAGCAAGGAGGGGGAAAAAAATCTTGCACATGTCTCTTCTTACAAAGGAACAGACATGCGATTTGTGCCATGCTGAGTCAAGATTCGAATCTGCTTTTCCTTATCGGCAGAACAGGATTGTTCCCTTCGGGTCCATGCTGGCTGAAGAGAAGTTTCCGAAAAACACACCGTTCTTACATTGGGAACCAGCTGTAGTTAAGCACAGTACTGTATTTGGGATTAGGGACTTAAAAAGACTCTGAGACCCTTTTCCAGTTAACACATTTTATTAAAAAGCGGAAACTTCTAAAGGGGCTGGGTTCAGACAACAGGCTAGGCCTGTGTTTCTCAACCTTGGCAACTTTAAGACGTGTGGACTTCAACTCCCAGAATTCCCCCCACCCCCCACCTTGGCGGGGGGGTTTTTGGGGTTTAGAGCTAACACACTCGCGGGTCC